TTTATTGATTATGCTATTACAGTGGACCCATTTTTTTCTCCCCTTTAGGCTCACCTGCCCTGTACCCCCCCCTCTCACTAGCATCCCCTCTGTCCCCCCCTAACTTAGTTCTTGTCCATGGGACGTACACAGAAGTTCTTGGACTTCTCTATTTCCTATACTGTCTGTAACCTCTCCCCTGTCTATTTTCTACCTACCATTCAGGCTTCTTATTCCCTGCACCTTTCCCCCACATTCTTCCTGCTCTCCCTCCACCCTGAGAAGCCTCCATGTGATCTCTATTTCTGTGATTCTCTTCCTGTTCTAGTTGTCTGCTTACTTTGTTTGTGTTTTTTTATAGTTGTGAATTTGTTGTCATTTTACTGTTCCTAGTTTTGATCTTCTTTTTTTATGATAAGTCCCTTTAACAGTTTATAGCATAAGGGCTTGGTGATGATGAACTGCTTTAACTTCGCCTTATCTGGGAAGCACTTTACCTGTCCCTTGGGGAAATGCACTTTCGATTGATGTTCTATTTACTCTGGATCAGGCCCCAGACTTTCTGAGGTTATCTGCTAATTTACCAATTTTTAGATGCAATTTTTTGCATCTAGAGCAGATGCAAGTGGTTTTTGTCCAGTAGAAAAGAAAATCCAAAAGTTACAGTTATATTGCAATCTTGGATATTAGTCTGTTTTTTCTAGAAGTTTCAGAATGTCATTCCCTAACTAACTGGGTAAAGCTCTACTCCCTCAGATGGTCTTAGAATCAGTTTTATGGTCCCTCATTAGTGGGTTCAGTACATCTGGGACACAATCTCCATCTGTACCTGCATGAGTCACGTGTTTTACCTGCTTACACAGGATTCCATGATGTCTCATTTAGAAAAGCACACACATCCAAAAGCTCAGCCATTCCTATGTTCCATCTTCCACTTACAGGTTCAAGTGCAGTTAAATTGGATACTTTTTATTGGTGCAATGCAAACAGAACAATAATTGTTGCTTTTAGACAAAAGAATTCAGGCCAAGAAACTCCCAGAAGGTGAGAGAGTGGAGGAGGCTGCATGGCATCCAGCATTCCTTCTTCTCAAGCAACTGTTTTTCTCTGTTTCTTGATTCAGTTCAGCTGTTTTGATACAATTCTTAACTGCCTTACTCTAGGGGGTTGGCACACACCCTTTTGCCCCCCACTTGTTTTTGAAGCTGGGGAGAAAAGGAGAAAGATTAGACAGGGGAGGAGGGCTTCTGCACATAAGGACGGGGAGCCCCCATCCCCCTGGCCCCTTGAGGCTTCCCCACTCAGCCCATCCTGTTCCTCCCTTATCTCCTGCAGGGTCTCAGGGGGTCTCCTCTGGGAGACCCTGCCTCTGACACCCCCCTCAGTGAGTCAGGGGGCGTGTCCTGGGGCAGCCTTGCTCCTGCTCCCCCTCCCCTCCCTGGCCTCCCTCTTCCCTGGGGAGCATCGTGGTGTCTGATGCTCTTGGGATTCTCAGTGACGACACTAGGTTTCACCTGACTTCGAAGCATCTAGAAGGCTGAGAATTTTCTGACCTCCCTCTGTCATCAGATCCCCACCCCAAGACATGGCCCGGTACCCTTGCCACTTACATGACAGCAGGCCGGAGGCAACCTCTGCCTGTTCTATAGTAACTTCATCATGTTTGGGCATTGGGATTATGTCAGCACGTTGGAAGCAGCAGTCAATGGGACGATGCACGCCTGTAGTAGCAGAAAGGTCCACATAAGGACTGAGTCTCTTTGTGAAAAACAACAACAACAACAACAAAACAACAAAAAAACTACATCCTTTCCCCCTTTTGTCCAGAGTACTGAGGGTGTGAAGGGGAAGAACTATAAAGGGGTGATTTCCTCCTCTGCAGCACCTGCTGGCATCTCCTTGCTCCCCCACCCAGGGTTGAGCTGTGCACCCAGGCAGGGCCAGGAACCACTCCTCCCAGAAGTGGAAGGTCCGATGCTGCAGGAGGCGTCAGAGAGTGCCACCTCCCCAAGGTCAGCAGACTGCAGGACAGCCAGGTGGGAGAGAGCTCGGGTATGGGGAGGGACCCACAGGGCACCCTGGTCTCCCTTGGAGATGTCCCCTCCCCCTTTCCCCATGTCCTGTAAACAAGGAGGACTGAAAGCCGCTGAGCTCAGGCCCGTGCCCATCAGCTGCTTTATATATACATGCCACAACTGAAACATTTACCTTGCGGCTGAGTCACGACTCGAGTCCCTCCCCTTGTGTCCCCAACCTGAATTCTTTTGGGAGAAAGAGACAGGAGGGAAGAGCAATCACTGGGAGGCAGCGCTGTGTCAGTATCTCTGCCTGTGTCACCCCAGCCCAGGCCCCAGGTGGGGCGGCATTGCTGCTGGACACTGGACTGCTGCTAAGCCATCTGGGTCTAGGCCTGCCACCTGGCCAGTTCTTTCACAGGTGCCCTGAGGTTTTTGAGAAAACTGCTGAAAATGTTTGAGCCATGAAAATGTTCTATTGACTTCATTTTTTTTTATTGACTCTTAATACTATAAAAAGCAAACTCACTAGATGCCACCTGGATAAATCAGTCCCACAGACACACCATGTGACATAGTCCACACCATGCTTTCTGCACATTTCTGGGACCCACTGGGCTCTGGAGACAGAAGGATGTTTCATTAAGGGATTTGGTGGCACAGTGTCACCCAAAGTGAAGTGGGGCTATTTATAGCCTTTGTCCCATTAGTATGAAGATTTGTTGTGTTTGCTGCAGACATGTTATAGTGTGATTCAAGTATGCTTCCCAGAGTCTGCTAGAAATGTTAAGTAATGTCCAGTTATGTGTTACCTTTTGAAAGAACATTTTTATTTTCTTCAACATGTGTTCAAAATACTACATAATATAAAACTGTACAATTTTGACCCTACTTTTCTGTCTTAGAGCTCTGACTCCCGTGCCCTACAGGGATCTAGACCCACTCAGTACATGCTGGGTGGGGCAGAGGTGGGTGTACAGGGGTTTGTGTGGAAAATAGTACAGTAATTAAGAAAGATCAATACAAGAATAAACTCTGTGTTTCATGCATTCACAACTGTGGAACATACTTTTATCACTCCCCCATAGTTATCAGCAGAATGAATAGCAAAGAGACATTCATTCGTTCAACAGAGTCTCCTGGTGGGGACTCTCAAGGAGGTTGCCCCTCAGATAGGGACCAGGCTGAAATGCCAGCAAAGCCAGAAGAACAGTCACAATTCTTTCAGGCTCAGAGGAAGAACAGAAGCTGTGTACTGTAGACCAGAGTGATCAAATATTAACCCTTTCCCAATGCACAGTTTGGGAGCATGAAGGACATTCCCATATTGTACAGCTCTAACCACAGACTGTCCACGGGGCTTTATGCATCTTGTAAAATTGCACCTCTGACCCAACTAGACAGTGACTCCCCAATCCCTCCGTCCCCCAGCCCCCGGCCACCGCCATTCTACTCTCTGTCTCTCTGACTCGGCTGCTTTCAGTGCCTCCTGTCAGCGGAATCAGACAGTGTTCACCCTTCGTTACTGGCTCATCTCACTGATCCTAACGTCGGGTGCAGACCTGTGCTCACTGTTCCTCCATGTGGTAGCATGTGTCCCAGTTTCTGTCCTTTTGGGCTGAATAATATTCTACTGTGTGTACAACATATTCCCCACTTTGAATCCATTCATTTGTGGATGGATACTTGGGGTGCTTCCCCCCATGGTGTGTTAGGAATGATGTAGCTGTTAGCATGGGCGTACCGGCAGTTCCATCGTACCTGCTTCCACTTCTTTTGGGGGTGCATACAGAAATGGAGTTGTCAGTGACAGTGTATCCCCTTTTTCAAACCTGGAAGACTCTACATTGCAAAGTGCACCCTAGCCTCCCTGTGTTCTGGGCAAGGGATTGCAGGCCTGCATTATGCTAGGTAGGCGAAACGCAGTGAACTTTGGCTTGTTTCTTATGCATTTACATGTGAGTTATGTTTAATGAGGCACGTGCGTACCCTCTGGTGTGCTTGCTATGCTGCGTGTGGGGCTGGCAAAATACAGTCTTAAATGGACTTATTTACTTTTCATAACAGCTTCATAGCTCGATCATATCCCCAACTCCACCACTCACTGGCTGTAGGATCTGAGCAAGTAATCTAAGACTTTTCTGCCTCAACGTTTCCCATGTGTAAAATTGAGACTAATGATAAAATACACAAAACCACTCTGGCTGGTGTAGTTCAGTGAATTGAGCATGGGCCTGAGACCCAAAGGGTCGCTGTTTCAGTTCCCTAGCCAGGGAACATGCCTGGGTTGTCAGGCTAGGTCCCTAGTACGAGGGTCACTTGAGAGTCAACCACACAGTGATGTTTTCTCTCCTTCTCTTTCTCCTTCCCTTCCAGTCTCTCTATAAGTAAATAAACTAAAGTCTATGAAAAACAATAATACTCAAAACCATGCCAGTTGCTGATAGTCTATTCCACAGTGTTGTTTGGGAGGGATTCAGTGTATTAATATCTATAAGACGATTAGAGTAGTTTCTGCTTGTACAAGGCAGTGTTAGATATTCATTTGTTAGTAAATCAGTAGAATGGTTAGGGGGGGACTTGGGTGAGTCACTAGCCCAGCGTGTCCCTATCTCCTTTTCAAACTGATAGTTTGTGCACTACGTGGGGTATGCTAGTTCTAACATTGAAGGTGACTATGCTTCTTTTCCCCAAGTTCACCATTTGCTACAGCTCTTTTGCTCAAGCACATAATGGCTGCCACATCAGGTAAGATAAGGTGTCAGAAAATTCTGGCCATGAAAAAGGGAAGAGAATTGTTTCCCAAGTCATCTGTGCACACTTTTCCCAGGGACCACAGGCCACAGGGAAAGGTCCACACCCTCCTGCTGCTGCTTTTAAGCAAGTGCCAAATTCACCTCCAAGGCCCTCTGTGTCTCCTCCCTGGACTGCAGGTTACCTCAGAACTGGAGACCGATGGGACGAAGACTCACTGAACTCACCAGGATCCTGGGAGTCGATTGACTATCAGAGATGCCTGGGCTGGGGGTCCAAGGGCAGCAGCAAGGATGAGGAAGAGGGAGGGCAGCTGCGGAGATCTTCATCTTCCAGGTGTGCGGGCAGAGCGTGGCCTGAGTGCTCCCGGGCTCTCTGCTCCTGACTCCCTGGGACCCCAGCCCTGCCCTGGTAGTTTATGAGAGGGAGGAGAAATCAGGAAGTCACGAGGGACAGACGTCAACAGAATGCCCTTTAGCTACACAGTTGGCAACATGATATTTCTAAGATCAGAACAACTGCTGGAATGCAACAGGAAGTCGAGGGCAACGATAACTTGGGGTTATCTCAGCTGCCCAATGGATGTAGGCAGAAGTGTGAAAATCTCAGATAGAGGTCTTAGCCAAGGCAGGGGTCGGGGGACCCTGTGGCAGCAGCTCTCCCATCCTCTGAGGGTCGTGGAAGTGCTACAGGGAGAAGTGCAGGTGGACTAGAGAGCTCTCTGGGGAACTGTTCTTCCCCTTGTAAAGCAGCTCCCTGCTTCTTCTTGCTCTCTGTGTGTAAATGTCATGTCTGCAAGCGCCAGGTTGCCATGCTTACTTTTCCCCAAATGAATCCTTCTTGTGGAGGGAATACCTAGTTGACTTTTTTGTTTATGGTAGCCAAGAGTGACTGCTATATTTTAATTTTTTAATTTTTTAAGAATCTCAATTGATCGTATGTTTATTGACTTGAGAGAGAGAGAGAGAGAGAGAGAGAGGGAAACATGGATGTGATTGCCCGCATTGCGTGTCCCAGTTAGAGAGAGACCACGCAGCCTTTTGACCTGTGGTGTAGCTCTCCCAGCAGCTGAGCCTTCGGGCCAGGGCTGAGCTCACTTTGTTTTTTTAACGATGGACATGTATGTGCGCTTGTTCTGACTTTAGTTTCTGTTCCAACTAATGTAGTTTTTACTAGCTTAGATTTTATACACAAGTTAGTGAATGTTTCTCATTTCCTCTCCCAGTGGTCCATGGCATTTATCTTTTCTCTTAGTGTTTCCTCTGTTAGGTCATTGGTAAAGAGCTATAGCCTGTAGCAATTACTCAAACTCTGGGCAGTGTCCGTGAACATTATTGTTCAAACAACATCAGATTCACATCTTCTAGCAAGTCGAAATTGCCAGTTTACTCCCCACACGGACTTCTTGAAACACAGTATGATTTGTGTAAAACATGCTATACATACAAACTCACTACATTTAATTACCAGCAGACGGAGTCATGAACTCACACTTGAAATGTGATTCAAGCTGCGGGAAAGTGACCCCTTCTTTCCTTCATCCTCCTGCCCTGATTCCCCAAAGTGCTGACCTTTACTTTGACCTCCATGTGTCAAAAGTTTCCAGCTCTTGCTCTTGATGTCATTGGTTCCTTTATTATTTTAGTAAGTGTATTTCATTGGTTATGCTATTACAGTTTTTCCTTTTTTTCTCCCCTTTATCCTCATCCCCTGGCACCCCCAGCCACTACCATCTCCCCTGTCCCCCTACCTTAGTTCATGTTCATGGGTCGTACACAGAAGTTCTGGCGCTTCTCCATTTCCTATACTGTTGGTAACCACTCCCTGCCTATTTTGTACCTACCATTCAGGCATCTTATTCCTCATACCCTTTCCCCCATTCTTCCCCTCTGCCTACCACTGAGAGCCCTCCGTGGGATCTCCATTTCTGCGATGCTCTTCCTGTTCTAGTTGTTTGCTTAGTTTGTGCTTTTTAGGTTCAGTATTTGATTGTTGTGAGTTTGTTTTTCACTGTTCATAGTTTGATCTTCTTCTTTGTGGGAGGAACTCTGTCTGGCAACATATTCCTCCCGTCCACTGCGGATGAGAAATAAGTCATCTCGGACACAATCTTGCTGTTCCAGTGGGAATGAGGGTGGCAATTCCCTCTAGTGCTGAATGCCCCAAGCTCTTCTCCCAAGTGGCTTTTAGTGGCAATGAGATGTGTAGGTGTGTGCACAGAGAGCTCATCAATCAATGTCAAAAGGCTATAGTCGTCCAGAAACAGATGTTACCTACATCTAACAATTGAAAGTACACAGAGATCTGTCACAGGTCAGGGTCTGTTGGTCACAGTGACACCAGAGGGTCTTTAGGATGTGTTTCGTGAGATAAAGAGTTCACTTCTTATGCCTTGAACTGAAACATCTGGTTTATATCACCAGGGCCATGCAAAATAAAGCACAGCCAGCTTCAAAGGATACAAGGTATTTATCAGGCTTGATTTCTGTGGGAATCCTCAGAGTGAGAGTCCGGTCATGCTTGCCCCCTGTGTTTCTACCTGGTTTTCCAGGGGGACTTACTAACCCCTTTTAGGGCTTGCTCTCTCAGGGCCACAGTCTCGCAAACCACGCAGAGCGGTCCCCAGCACTTATTCTTAGGTAATTCCCTTTAACAGTTTGTAGAGTAAGAGCTTGGTGATGATGAACTACTGTCACTTCACCTCATCTGGGAAGCACTTTACCTGCCCTTGGGAAATGCACTTTTCATTGCTGTTCTGTTTGCTCTGGATCAGGCCCCAGACTTTGTGAGATTACAGTGAACTTACCAATTTTTGTCTGGAGCAGACACAAGTGGTTTTGTCCAGTAAAAAGACAATCCTAAAAGTTACAGTGATATTGTAATATCAGCTATTAGTCCGTTTTTTTTGAAGTTTCAGAATGTCATTCCCAGCTAACTGTGTAAATCCTTATTCCTCAGATGGTCTTAGAGTCAGTTTTATGGTTCTCTCATTAGTGGGTTCAGTACATCTGTGACACAATCTCCATCTGTACTTGAATGAGTCATAATTTTACCTTCCTAAAAATGACTCTATGATGTCTCATTTTAAAAAAAACCACAAGTCCAAAGTTCAGGAATTCCTGCATTTCTTATTCCTCTTCCAGTTCAAATACAGTCAATTTGGATATTTTTTACTGGTGTTCAGGTTTTATAAAGAGAACAGAACATAATTGTTGCTTTTGACAAAAGACTTCAGGCCAAGAAACTCCCAGAAGCTGAGAGAGTGGAGGTGGGTGCGTGGCATCTAGTACAGCTTCTCCTCAACTAACCGTTTCCCTGGGGTTGGCTGAGTCCAGCTCTTGCATACAACGCTGAACTCTCACACTGTCGGGGTTGGCACAGACCACCTTCCCCCTCTTGGTTTTGAAGCTGGGGAGAAAGATTATACCGTGAGGAGGGTTCTGCACATAAGGACGGGGAGCCCATCCTCCTGGCCCCTGGGCTTCCCCACTCAGCCCATCCTGTTCCTCCTGTCTCTGCTGCAGGGTCTCTGGGGGTCTCCTCTGGGAGTCCCTGCCTCTGACACCCCCTCAGTGACTCAGGGGGGCTTCCTGGGGCAGCCTTGCTTCTGCTCTCCTCCTCCCCTATCCTCCATCTTCACTGGGATCATGTGGCGTCTGATGCTCTACCGGATCCTAATGAGGACACAAACCTCTGCCCACCTCAAAGCATCCAGAGGGTGAGATTTCTCCAGACCTCTCTTGTCATCAGATTCCTACCCCCAAGACATGGCTGGTAAGCTTGGCACTTACATGACAGCAGGCAGGTGGCACACACTGCTTGTTTGATAATAATCCTCCATGATTCTACATCGGATATTTTGTGTGGTTTTGTAGCAGCAGTCAGTGTGATGGTGCACGCCTGTAGCAGGAGAAAGGTCCATTTAAGGATGGAGCCCCTTTCTGAGGAAACTACATCTTTCCCCCTTTTTACTCCAGAGACAGGGGAGGGTGTGAAGGGGAAGAACTCAGAAGGAGTGATTTCCTCCACTGCAGCACCTGCTGGCATCTCCTTGCTCCCTTGGCCAGGGCTGAGTGTGCAGCCAAGCAGGGCCAGGACCACTCCTCCCAGAAGTGGAAGGTCTGAGGCCTGCAGGAGGCATCAGAGAGCGCCTTCTCCCCAAGGTCAGCAGACTGCAGGACAGCCAGGTGGGAAAGTGTTCAGGTATGGGGAGGGATCCACAGTGCACCTGGTCGCCCTTGGAGATGTCCCCTCCCCCTTTCCCCATGTCCTGTAAACCAGGAGGACTGAAGCCACTGAGCACATCTGTATGCACCAGCTGCCTTTAAATACATGCCATAATGAAACATTTACCTGGCTGCAGTATGAAGGAATGATGCATCACGGGCTTATCCCTCCCGTAATCTATTGGGAGAAAGACACCAGGAGGGAAGAGCAATCACTGGGAGGCAGCGCTGTGTCGGTATCTCTTCCTGTGTCACCCCAGCCTAACCCCCAGGTGGGGCGGCATTGCTGCTGGACACTGGGTGCCCATGGGGGTTTTGGGTCTGCTTCCTGGCCAGTTGTCTCACTGGTACCCTGAGATATTTTTAGGAAACTGGTGAAAATATTTGAGCCATGAAAACATTCTATTGACTTCCTTTTTTTATTGACTTTAAATACAAAAAGCAAATCACTAATGCCACCTGGATAAATCAGTCACACAGCCACACCATGTGACATAGTCCACAACATGCTTTCTGCACATTTCTGGGACCCACTGGGCTCTGCAGACAGAAAGATGTTTCATTAAGTGATTTGGTGGCACAGTGTCACCCAAAGTGAAGTGAGGCTATTTATAGTCTTTGTCCCATTAGTATGAAGATTTGTTGTGTTTGCTGCAGAAATGTTACTGTTTGATTCAAGTATGCTTCCCAGAGTCTGCCAGGACTATTAGGAATGTCCAGTTACGTGTTAACTTTGAAAAATATTTTAATTTTTTGAACATGTGTTAAAATATACATAAGATAAAATATACAATTTTGACCCTGCTTTTCTGCCCTTGAGCTCTGACTCCGTGCCCCACAGGGATCTAGACCCACAAGTACATGCAGGGTGGGGCAGAAGTGGGTGTACAGGGGTTTGTGTAGAAAATAGTACAGTAATTAAGAAACAACAATACAAAAATAAACTCTGTGTTTCGCACACTCACAAGGAGGACAAGGAGGAAATGCCAGCAAAGCCAGAAGAACAGTCAGGATTCTTTCAGGCTCAGAGGAAGAACAGAAGCTGTGTACTGTAGACCAGAGTCACCAAACGTTAACCGTTTCCCAATGCACAGTTTGGGAGCATGAAGGACATTCCCATATTGTACAGCTGTAACCACAGACTGTCCACGGGGCTTCATGCCTCTTGTAAAATTGCACCTCTGATCCCACTAGACGGTGACTCCCCACACCCTCTCCCTCAGCCCCCGGCCACCGCCATTCTACTCTCTGTCTCTCTGACTCAGCTGCTTTAAGTGCCTCCTGTCAGCGGAATCAGACAGTGTTCACCCTTTGTTACTGGCTCATCTCACTGATCAAAACGTCGGGTGCAGACCTGTGCTCACTGTTCCTCTGTGTGGTAGGATGTGTCCCAGTTTCTGTCCTTTTGGGCTGAATAATATTCTACTGTGAGTACAAAGTATTCCCCAGTTTGAATCCATTCATTTGTGGATGGGTATTTGGGGTGCTTCCCCTCGTAGTGTGTTAGGAATGATGCAGCTGTTAGCATGGGTGTGCAGACATCTCCCAGGTACCTTCTTCCACTTCTTTTGGGGGTGCATCCAGAAGTGGAGTTCCATTGATATTGTATCCCCTTTTTCAAACCTGAAAGTTCCTGCATTGCAAACTGCACCTAGCCCCAATGTTCTGGGCAAGGGATTGCAGGCCTGCATTATGCTAGGTAGGCAAACACACTGAACTGTTGGCTTGTTTCTTATGCAGTTACATATGAGTTATGTTCAATGAGGCATGTGTGTACCCTCCAGTGTGCTTGATATGATGCATGTGGGGCTGGCAAAATGAAGTCATTTTTTTTTGTTTTCTTTGTATAGTTTTATGGAGAAAGGAAGAGTTTCCCATGCCCACTGCTCATGTTATTTTTTTGAAAGACTAGTTCCTAAAATACTATGATATACTTCCTGATTTCTTATTTTTCTTATTTATTTATTTATAATTTTAATCGTTGTTCAAGTACAGTTTTCTGTCTTTTACTCCCATCTCAGCTCACCACCCCAGCCCTCCCCACCTCTTTCCCATTTCTACCCCCCTAGTTTTGTCCATGTGTCTTTTATACTTGTTCCTGCAAACACTTCTTTTTTTCCTCTGAAATTCCCTCCCATCGTCCCTCTGAAAATAAAGTCTTAAATGGACCTGTTTTTTCTTAATAACAGCTTCCTAGCTAGACCATACCCTAACTCTGCCACTCACTGGCTGTAGGATCTCAGCAAGTTATCTAAGGCCTCTGTGCCTCAGGTTCTCATGTGTAAAATAAGAGTAATAATAATAATATGCAAAACCTCCCTGGCTGGTGTAGCTCAGTGTATTGAGCTTGGGCCTATGAACAAGGGTTACTGGTTTGATTCCCAGTCAGGGCACATGCCTGGGTTGAGGGCCAGGTCCTCAGTAGGGGGCGCCCGAGATGCAACCACACAGTGATGTTTCTCTCCCTGCCTCTCTCCTTCCTTCCCCTCTGTCTAAAAGTAAACAAATAAAATCTTAAAAAATATAATACTGAAAACCATGGCAGTTGCTGGTCGTCTATTCCACAGGGTTGTTAGAAGGACTCAGTGTATTAATACTTATAAGACAATTAGAGTAGTTTCTGCTTGTACAGGGCAGATTGTACAAGGCAGTGTTAGATATTCATTTGTTAGTAAGTCAGTAGAATGGTTAGGGGGAATTGGGTGAGTCACTATCCTGGTGTGTCCCATCTCCTCTTCAAACTGATAGTTGTGCACTGCATGGGGTGCCCTAGTTCAGCATTGGAGATGACCAGGTTTCTTTTCCCAAGTTCACTGTTTGCTACAACTCTTTTGCTCAAGCACATAACGGCCCCATATAAGCCAAGATAAGGTGTCAGATAATTCTGGCCTTGAAAAAGGAAGAAATTGTTTCCCAAGTCATCTGTGCACACTTTTCCGCAGGGACCAAAGGCCACAGGGAAAGGTCCATACCCTCCTGCTGCTGCTTTTAAGCAAGTGCCAAATTCACCTCCAAGGCCCTCTGTGTCTCCTCCCTGGACTTCAGGTTACCACCAAACTGGCCATCAGTGTGAAGGCTCAGTGACTCACCAGGGGCTGGGGATTGAGCCTGCAGAGATGCCCGGGCAGGGGGTCCAAGGGCAGCAGCAAGGATGAGGAAGGGGAGGGCAGCTGTGGAGACCTTCATCTTCCAGGTGTGCGGGCAGAGCTGGCCTGAGTGCTCCCGGGCTCTCTGCTCCTGACTCCCTGGGACCCCAGCCCTGCCCTGGTGTTTATAAGGGGAGGAAAATCAGGAAGTCACAGGGCAGAGTTCCACAGAATGCTCTTTGGCTATACAGTTGGCAACATGATATTTCTATTACGGGAACCAGTCTGGGAATGCAACAGGAAGTTGAGGACAATGATGACTTGGGGTTTTCTCAGCTGCCCAATGGATGTAGGCAGAAGTGTCAAAATTTCAGAGACAGGCCTCAGCCAGGACAGGAGTCAGGGTCCCCGTGGAAGGAGTTGTCCCATCCTCTGAGGGTCGTGGAAGTGCTACAGGGAGAAGTGCAGGTGGACCAGAGAGCTCTCTGGGGAACTGTTCTTCCCCTTGTAAAGCAGCTCCCTGCTTCTTCTTGCTCTCTGTGTGTAAATGTCATGTCTGCAAGCTCCATATTGCCATGCTTACTTTTCCCCAAATGATTGGTCCTTGTGGAGGTAATACCTATTGGACTTTTTGTTTATGGTAGGCAAGAGTGAGCATATTTTATTTTACTGTATTTTTTAAAAAACTTCAAGTGATCCTATGTTTACTGATTTGAGAGAAAGAGAGGGAAACATTGATGTGAGAGACAAACTTCAATTGTTCAATTGATTGCCTACATATGTGTCCCAGTCGGGGATGGAACACGCAGACTTCAGACGTGAGGGGTGGCTCTCCCACCAGCTGAGCCTTCAGTCCATGCCTGAGCTCACTTTGGTTTTTAATGACGGACATGTGTGTGTCCTTGTTGTGACTTTGGTTTCTGTTACAATATTATTGCTTTTACTAGTTTAGATTTTATATTCAAATTAGCTAATATTTCTGGTTTCATCTCCCAGTGTTCCATGGCATTTATATTTTCTGTTAGTGTTTCCTCTGTTAGGTCATGGTAAAGAGCTATAGCCTATAACAATGACTCAAACTCTGGGCAGTGTCCGTGAACGTTATTGTTGAAATAACATCAGATTCACATCTCCCAGCAAGTTGAAATTGCCAATTTAAAGACTTACTTTACTTCCAAAATGTATTTCTTTTTTAAAATATATTTTATTGATTCTGCCATTACAGTTGTCCCATTTCCCCCTTCACTCCCCTTCCCCCTGCACACCCTCTCCCACCCACATTCCCCCCCTTTAGTTCATGTGTCATAAGTTCTTTAGCTTCTGCATTTCCCATGCTATTCTTGCCCTCCCCCTGTCTATTTTCTACCTACAATCTATGCTACTTATTCTCCATACCTTTCACCCCTCTCTCTCTCTCCCACTCCCCTGTTGCTAACCCTCCATGTGATCTCCATTTCTGTGGTTCTGTTCCTGTTCTAGTTGTTTGCTTAGTTTCTTTCTTTTTTTGTTTAAAGTGTGGTTGTTAATAATTGTGAGTTTGCTGTCATTTTACTATACATGTTTTTTATCTTCTTTTTCTTAGATAAGTCCCTTTAACATTTCATAAAATAAGGGCTTGGTGATGATGAACTCCTTTAGCTTGACCTTATCTGAGAAGCGCTTTATCTGCCCTTCCATTCTGAATGAAAGCTTTGCTGGATAGAGCAATCTGGGATGTAGGTCCTTGCCTTTCATGACTTGGAATACTCCTTTCCAGCCCCTTCTTGCCTGTAAGGTCTCTTTTGAGAAATTAGCTGACAGTCTGCTGGGAACTCCTGTGTAGGTTACTGTCTCCTTGTCTCTTGCTGCTTCTAGGATTCTCTCCTTCATTTTTACCTTGGCTAATGTAATTATGATGTGCCTGGGTGTGTTCCTTCTTGGGTCCAACTTCTTTGGAACTCTCTGAGTTTCCTGGAATCCCTGGAAGTCCACTTCCTTTGCCAGAATGGGGAAGTTCTCCTTTATTATTTGTTCAAATAAGTTTTCCACTTGTTGTTTTTCCTCTTCTCCTTCTGGTACCCCTAGAATTCGGATGTTGGATCATTTCAAGATCTTCTTGGAGATTCCAGAGCCTCTCCTCATTTTTTTGAATTCTTATTTCTTCATTCTTTTCTGTGTGATTGTTTCTTTCTTCCTTCTGGTCCACTCCTTTGACATGAGACCCAGCTTTCATTCCATCATCATTGGTTCCCTGTGCATTTTTCTTCATTTCACTTACCGTGGCCTTCATTTTTTCATCTAATTTGTGACCAAAATGAGCATCTTGATCACCAGTGTTTTGAACTGTGCATCTGATAGGTTGGCCATCTCTCGGTCGCTTAAAAGTATTGGCTGTGGGGTTTTCAATTTGTTTGAGCCATCTTTTTTTTCCCTTTGGTCTGGTCGAGACTGTTACGTTTGAGGGGCGTAGCCTTAGGTGTTCACCAGATCGGGGCACCTCAGTTGCTGGGTTGTGACGTTGTATGTGGGGGCAGGGTCCGAGAGGGAACAATGGCACTGGGTTGTGAGGTTGTATGTAAGGGCAGAGCCCCAGAGGGAACAATGGCGCTTGCTCCACTCTCCCTGGGACCTCAGTCCCTTCCGCCGCTTCCCCCGAGCAATCTGGGCCCTTCTGGTGCCAATTCCCGGGTGGGTGAGCTTGTGCACCCCGTGACTCTTTCCAACGACCTCTCCAGTAAGGCTGGGAGTCTCTCCCTGTGCTTCAACCCCAACAGGTGTTTTCAATCAGTGCCCCGAGGCTCTATTTCCCAGCGCTGGGATCCTGCACGCAGTGCCTTGCTTCACAGTTGCCGCCTTGCTGGGTCTGCCGGTTGCCACGTCTTGGCCGGGGTCTGCCAGCGGCTGCTTGTACACCCAGGGTCCGCCCACTGCGGTATTGAGCACCCTGGATGCCTTATGTGCCCGGGCCCAACACTCTCTGCTCTCCCTGCCTCGCCCAGCGATCTGCTGCCCAACTCTGGATGAACGTGTCTATTTTAACTGCTTGGTTGTCCGACTTCCATGCAGTTCAATTTTCTGTCAGTTCTGGTTGGCATCTGTTTCTAAATTGTTGTTCTCCCTATCTTGGTTGTGCGAGGAGGCACAGTGTGTCTACCTATGCCTCCGCCTTGGCCGGAAGCCAAAACATATTTATTGACACATAAATATGATTTGTACAAAACAGGCAGTATATACAAACTCACGAACATTTACTAAGCAGCAGATGGGGCCCTGACCATGGCAGAGACTTCAGTCCCATGGACTGTGACTTCTTTCCTGCGTCCTCCCTCCCGGATCCCCCAACATGCCAATCTTAACTTTGACCTCCATGTTCAAATCTCTCCGGCTCTTGCTCTCGATGTCATTGGATTACTTTAAATAAGTATCATCTCTATGATGACTGTTAAACTTCAATTCCTCCAGGAGAATTGTAACTCTGTTCCCCAGTTTCCCAGTTTCTCAACTGAATTTTCCTGAGACTTGGGATTTGGGAAACCATCGAATTCTCTAAGAAATGCTGGGAAGGAATTCCCCTGTGGAAGTGCCAGGGGTATTTGGAAGAAATCCCAGTAGGGGCTGGGACTCGTGCCCTTTGGGAAGGCAGACCCAGCCCCTCACAGCGCCCCCTCCTGAGAGGAGGGAAGGACGCCCAGACTCTAACGCACCTCCAATTTGCTGGCTTTGTGCCCATTGCCCCGTTGTCTCCCTCCCAGTGTCCGCACTGGTCAGTGAGGCTGCGGGACTGGAGTTTTGCAGGGAGCTTCCCGGGGCTCTGGGGGCATCAGGGACTCTCTTGGAGGGACCAATACCTTGGCCAGTGGAGTCTTGAGTAGAGGACCCCACTCAACCCTTTTTTCTGCTTGACATTTTGGGTCTCCGTGTAACAGTTTGCTTGAGGAAAAGGTTTCATGGTCTAAAGTGTGTTTTATTTTAATCACTGGATTAGGCAATATTTTTATTATTTCCTGATGCTGGAACTTCATGGCCCCTCAAAGGAGTTACACTTGGGGGACAGCAAAGCCACGCTGAGCTGGATCCATGGACACAGCAGGACGGGCATTGCAGACCAAGGGCATTTCAAATGTGCTGTGCTTGTGGGGTGGAGTGACTTGGGGTGTCCATGTCATGTGACTAACCCAGACAGGAACATGAGTGCACATCGTGATGGCCTCAGAGGTCACCGAGGGCAGCCAGATGCTTGGGTGGAGAGGGAAGGGCCTGGTCCTGACACCCAGTACCTCTCCAGGCCACACCCTTGCTGTCTACCCACTCCCACTGTGCTCTCCTGAGATGATGAACCCCTTTCACAGAGACCAGTCAGGCCTTCCAGGTTCCCACTAACATTAGAGTAACTTTATTTCAACAGCCTTCTGTGTTTCCCCCGAGTCTCTGAAAAGAAAACGAAGTAATGTTGAAGGGCGAGGAACCGTTTGGTTGTCTGAAAAAGCAGCTCATGCAAAGAAATAGGCTGGAAAAAGGTGATTGGGGGCGACCCCTCACCCCAGTGCCATTCTCCAAGGCCATACCTGAGCATTGCCCCACTGGCCCTGGACTCAGGCTGGGCCCCCAACTCAGGCCCCAGATGGACACTATGGCTGTGGGGGGTTCAAAGCACTGCTCCTCAGTACTTCTGGGGGTGATGCCCCAAATGAGGGGGGCCCTTTTTGAGGGAAGCAGGCTGGCCTCATTCCATTGACTTGACAGTAAGGGGTCTGGTCCTGGGGAAGATGAGAGGGAGCCAGTTCAAGAAAACTCCAGGTCTCTTAGCAGAGGCCCTCCCCCTCGGGTGTCCAGCAGCCTTGCTCCTGCTTGTTTCCCCTGCAGGGAGCAGGTTGGAAGGAAGACAGGGGATGCACTCATGTGAGGAGGGTTTAGTCTTGGCCCCTGGGGTGATGGCATGATGATGGAGATGAGGAGGAGGAGGAGGAAGCAGAGGCAGGAATGGCCGCCATGGAGACCCCCATCTTCCCCCAGACGGAGCCACTGTGGGAGGGGAGCTGGCCTGGAAGGGGCTCCCGAGGCTCCAGGGCTGACGGCATGCTGAGAAATGATGATCTAGGCAAAACAGTTTTTGAAATAAGAGAACTGAGGTTTCAAAGGAAAGCCGGAAGGGGTGGCAGCCTCAGTTTGTATCCGGCACAGGCGGT